TATTTCTTACATTTTTATACAAGTATTTACGTAGTCAATTCACCACTAATTCCTTAAGTATAATTACCAATTTTATCCGACATTGAGGCTTTAACATTGAAAAAGGTATAAATGCCAAAATATAAAAAAGAATTTGTATATAAAGACGTATATTATTATTTATTTTTTCTGAAGTTAATACTTTTTATACGCGTTAAAGCGTATTCTTCACGTTGTCATTAATTTTTTTTTATATTAAAAAATTTTATTTTAAAGTTTGCATTCCTCTAAAATGTTAAAATCTCAATTATTATATAATAATGAGTATTGCAAAATGTGCGTATATTCTTTAATGTCGTTATTTCAATCATTTCAGATTCTTATTACGTCACGCTTTGAAATTTTCAACTTTACGAGCAATTTTTAATAAAGTCCTACGCAAAATAATAGATAAAGCGGCAAACTATAGCCCGGAAAAACATGCAGAACTTCAAGAAATATCAAAAAAGCAGTTGTCAAATTTGTCTACTATGTATTAATGATGAGAGAGTTTGAAATTATAAAATTATATTGTTTTTAATTGTATATATCACTGGTGATGGACGTGTATTATGATTTTTGTTTATTTCACTTAATTTGATAAAAAATCAAAGTTTTATAAAAAATGCAATTTTGTTTAATTATTAAAACGTTGAGTTAATGTTATTGAGTTAATGTTTATTGATATTTTTGTTTTAGCAAGAAATTATTTTATAAAATAATTTACTTAATAAATTATAAAATAATTTGAAACAAGAAACATCCTATCCTGTAGAAATTAGAGAGATGATTAAAGAAAAAAGAAGAGCTCGGAGAATCTAACAAAACATCCCGAGGATACAAAAATATTCAACCGCATTAGCAACCAATTGAATCGGCTAATTAAAAAAAAAAACATAAACGGAAACTTTGAAGCCTACCTACAAAATCTTTCCACAAAAGCAGACGCTGATTATTCCCTGTGGAAAGCAATAAAAAAACTTAAAACATCTATAGTTAGAACTCCTCCAATTAAAGATGAGACCGACAGATGGATTCGCCGGGACGAAAAAATAGCCAAAGCCTTTGCTAATCACCTGTCTAGAGTATTCCAACCTCATAACATTTAGTCTAAGATAGTAACCACTATCACATACAGCAAGAATGAACAAATCAAATACGTCACTCCCCATGAAATTGCGCAAGAAATAGACAAAAACATCAAACTAAAAAAGGCACCAGATATTAACAAAATACCATCTAGAGTGATAAAAGAATTATTGCGTAAAGAAGTTGTGCAACTTACGTATATTTTCAATGCTTTCGACTGGAATATATACCGGACTGTCTTAAACTGGCTTAAATTATCATGATTAAAAAACCAGGTAAGCCGGGGGAGGAAATAGCTTCATACAGATCAATTTCACTACTCCCAGATATATCTAAATTATTTGAGAAGCTATTGTACAAGCGACTCAAACCTCTAACTAATATACCAAATCCTAAAGTTTTGTGGACTGCTGAATTTGAATCTGATTTCAAAATTGCAAAATTCAAAATGGCGGATCCAATATAGCGACTGTTAATTGTTTAAACCAACAATTTCTAATATATTCGCATAGTACTTGATACACGAGCTTTTTGGAAATATCGAAGTAAAAAATTCTTTTTCACCTACATCATTAGCTGGTTAAATATTTTAACGAACCCCCACATTTTGGTTTACATGATCATAACATTTGACTGATAGGTCGTAGTAAACATTTTCAAAAATCATTGTTTTCCTTTTGAAAAGCCCTTTTAAATGAGTCTCCACTCAACCCATAGTGCCATTTAATATTTTCCACTTTTGTTCTACCCCCCTTCCCCCTCCCCAGGACATGTGAGACGATCCACACTCATTCCAAAAAGTAGCTTTTTTCGAAAACTCTGAACCCGTGTTTCATCATTTTTTGATATTTTAATTTATGACTCTTACTACCTTTGGCACTAATCCTTCGAAAAAGTCTATCACTGAAGTGGTTAATGAGACGTCCGAAAACATTACTAAAAATTCCGAATGTAAAGTGAAACATTCGAGTAATTATAAATATGTAACAGTGATGAAGAATACGTTGAATCAGAAATTATTTCCGAACAACTTCAACATCCAAACCGTAAAATAATAAAAATTGTAATAAAAATTGTAATAAAAGCAGAATCACTATATCAATGAGGTCAATCATTGGTTGTGCATAATTATATCGTAGATGTTAAACAATTCTTTTTTAGGTTTTATTATTTTTTACATTCTATAAAGGCTTAAACGAGCAACGGAATCAAAAGCGATCGCTGAACAGAAGAGAGATTGTCCAACATCTACTCACATCTCGACGAAACCTGCTTGCACCAAAAAACCGTTTAAAAAAAAATAGAGAAGACTAACCCTTTGCTTAAGAGCAAGCAGTTGTCCTAACATTTACAGAAACAGCATAATTACGTTTGCTAAAGAAAACGAGCAGGCATCGTGGTATTGAAGGAAGCAAGTTTCCAAAATATACATTTTTTTCCTCCTTATCAGAAATGGTACTACGAGCTGATAGATCTTATAAAGAGCATGCTGGATTTTTCGATTTTCTCGAGTTACTTTCTGCTGATGTCGTTGTCGACGATACTGCTGTTCACTTGGTTTATTGTACCGTACTTTTATCTCGCGGAGCATCTGATGAGGAATAATTATGATGAAACCGATGCCGCTAATCTTCTCAGTATCATTGGCATAACGAATACCATTGGAATGGTAATATTAGATCAGCACTAGATTAGCACTTTATTCTCGAAGGATAAATTCTCTCATACTCGGCACTACGTTTTCAGATTGTTCTCGGGTGGGCTGGCGATCAACCTTGGATGAATGTCTGTAAAACGTATACTTGGTTGCCTAATAGCCTGCGGAGCGGCCATTGTATTAATGGTGGTATTCACTCAACATTATACATTTCTAATGATAAGCGCGGCAGCATTTGGCCTTTTCTTTGCCAGCAACTTTAGTTTTACTCCAGTAATATTAGTTGAATTGATACCACTGGAAAGATTTACAACCGCTTACGGTCTTAGCTTGTTATGCCAAGGAATCGGGAATCTTGTCGGTCCTCCATTAGCTGGATGGCTTTTTGACGTAACGGGCACTTGGGATCTTTCTTTCCTTATGGCTAGCGGTTAGATTATTGTCTCTGAAACATTATTAGGTATTGTATTGTACACAAAGAATCAAAAAATTTTCTGTAATGGGCCGGTCGAAATAGAACAAATGAATGGTAATGACGACTGCTTAGCATAGAGAAGGATATACTTACAATATTTAAAAAGCAGAGTATTGTTGCAAATAAAATGAAACAGACGAATAAGTATTTTATTCAGATAAATTTTAATCTAACAAACGAATCTCACTGCGCTTACATCGAATTTTAGAATTATCTATTTATAATGACATTTGAACGTACAACACTTCTCTCATATATCACAATTTTGTCGTACTTAATTTATTCGTCTCGAATAGTTTTGCTTACGTAATGCATCGATTTGTTTTGAAATATATTAATTTGCATACGTGCATACTTACAAGTTTCTATGAATATCTACTTAAAATGTGCTTCAAACATATCAATTGTATATAGCATGCTTAACTGTAATCGAATAGATTGAATAAAAGCGATACGAACATGTAGAAATTTATTAACAACGCAGAAAGACATAATAAAACAAAATTGAAGAAATATATTTAGTTTTATATAAATATATTTCATATATAAGAAAATAAAAAAACTTGCACATAGGAAAATTTATTTCCTTAAAACTTTTAGAACCTAAAACGTTTAAACATATTTACATGATTTATTCATGCAAATAAACGTCGATGATTTCGAAAAAAATTTATTTCTCAAATGATTAAATTCTCTAAGTCCAATAATTTTTTCATCAAATCTTATATTATAAATTATTTGTTGTTATAAATTTTAAAAACTGTTTAATAGTTTATTGTAAAAAAAATTTTTATTGACGTTATTAATTCAAAGAGTAGATAAATAGTCAATTAAATAATAATATATATTAATATTTACTAGAAAATATAAACATTTACGAAATATGCAATTTTATAAAAAACAATCTTATCAAAAATTGTTAATCCAATTTAATTTAATTCAATTATGTAATTCCATTTAGTAGCAATGTAACATTAAATATCTGTTATGATAATACGAAGATGTTAATATGTCCCGTTCCATGCATATAATGCAAGCTCCTAATTCTAATTTTCAATATTATTAAAGCATTTGTACGGAAACTGAAAGTTCTAAATCCGACAATCCCGTTTGTCGAGCGTGCACACAACTACATATATTTATTTCGATAAATATAACAGTATTAAATATTTATCATCAGCTCGGGATTCACCGAATATTCTTTCAAAGAACAAGAAAAATTGTATAAACAAAATTTTAACAATACACAATTTCTTGTTCTTTTGCTGTGAACATTGTATGTGAATTGTGAATACTCGAGAAAAAAATGGTGTAATATGGTCAGATGTAAATATATATAAGTAGTTATGAAAAGATCTAATAACATATGTAATTTTATATGATCGTATAAAATTCAGATCTTTTCATAACTAATTATATATATTTACATCTGATCAATTATACCATTTTTTCTGGGGTATATTTTTATAATTTTCTCAATATCCCGGTGGCGTTGTCGGATTAAGCGAATTAGGACTTGGACTTCGACTAGATGCTCTTGGTATGCCCAGAATGATGGCAAAGTTTTCTAAACTTTTAGGAAACGTTTTTGCAATAATAAAATGTTGAGGGCTGATTAAGGCATCTCCCATTATACCAAGACGCACTTTGTTTCCATGCTTGTGCAGAGTTATAGACATGTCTAAAAATATAATATATATTACAGCTTGATAAAGATGTGGCCTAATAAAGACAATGTAAACACCGATAAATTAAACATACTGCAGTTTCCTTGCGGTGGTCGCCAATAAATCGCTCCATCTACGCCTTCTATTGGTAAATCCCCGTCGACGTGAGTTAAGCACAAGGAATATCTTCGTGATAATTGATTTAAAAGTAATTTCAGAACGATTGATGGCAAGCAGGATGAAATCAATCCGCGGGACGTTTCTGCTGTGATACCGTAAATCGCACTCTGTCTAGACCTGACTTCCTGGACGTTTCGTTGAATCACCTTTAGAAAACAATGCAGTGAAAAGAATTGAATGAGCTTTTTACACGAGTGAATGTCTATCGGATTCTTACCTGCAGCATTTCAATGAAATCATCGTGAAAGAACGGCGTCTCTACGATAGGTAAGGCGAGACAGAGGATACCCCTGGCTTCGTGATTTCGCAGGAACACCGCTCGTTGACTCACAAATTTCACAGTTGCAAACACATCATCTGGTATACTGAAACCCGAATGCTTAAATATTCCTTCAGAGTGTCCACGGTGGACGTCAAAAGAATTTCCGTTTCAGTTGCACCGGTTATGTTAGCAATTTGCCGAACGAGCTCGATGTCGACTTCCTCCGACCAAGCCACGACTTTTCTACCGCACGATGAAATAGTCTGCAGTTGATTCGACTGTGGATGCTTCAAAAATAATTCTTCGACTATAATCTTCGGCGCAGGCACGGCTATCCAACTGATAGATACGACCTCTCGAAATGCTTGAATGCCAAAGGAACGTAACACGAGAGCATGTACGTCAAGGTGTCCGAATAGTAATGCTTGTGCCGCGATTTCAAAGCTCGTAATTCTCGAACAAGCAGAAGAGGCATTTTCAAAACTGACGTGACCACAATGTACCAAGACAGAGCAATGCAAAAATAAATAATGGCAATCGGATTGAAAGACTTCATGATGGATTCAAGTACCAAGCGAAGATTGAAATTTCTCTTGCTCGACTCACGTTGAACAATCGATAGAAGCTCTAGAATTTTTAGCCCTTCCGATTTTCGGCCATTGTCTAAAGAAAGTTACAAAGAAGTTAAAATTCTAACATGAGATAGTCATTAATGTTACTATTATTTTAGATATTCCAAAAGATTTTTTTTCAATGATAACATGATACAAAAATTTCATAAAATTGTTGAATAGAAAAGAAGAATGTTGCAAGAACGAAATACCTGGCCAGTTCCTTCAAAATGCAGACCAGCACTATCATCGAGATCTTTACGCACTGCAACATTCCTATTCGCTTCTTCAAGATCTCCGGTCATTCGGTCGGATCATTATTGTAAAAAAAATTGTTCCAATAATTGCTGAAGCTTTCGATGAGCATCTGTCGAAGGCGTGGTAATGCGGAAGGTTGTATGTACGAGGACTGTACGATAAGTACCCGTGTTAAAGATGTTAGGGCGGTATTCATAGTCCGTTCTTATATTCAAGATCGTCTTAAGCACGAACTTATATTCGCTCTCTTTGTCAGACACAATCTATGTGTGACGAAG